ACTTGTTACTGTAAAACGCCCGGGATTAGCGCCGGACCCTGCCACTCACTCCCCCGCCACATCTGACAGTTATTGCATCATCTAGTACTGAGCAAGTTTCCGGCAAATGCTTATGTTTTCATTATTTTGTTGAAAAAAAAAGTATTTCGTTGTTTCATTCTTAGTTAAAATTGATAATTATATGATAAAAATGAGTGGCAGGAGATCTACTATTTGGACTTATTTTAGAGAAACTGAAGACCAAAGTAAAGTGAAATTTACTATAATGTAATTATATAAGTATTCCAAAAACATTGTATCAAACTTTCTATTTGCCATAATTGGAAATAAATTTACTGTGCCTCAAAAATATAACGCTATACAACTAAATTTAACACATAAATAAAAAGAAATGACTTTAACGAATGTTCGGTGATTTAACCGAATACGAATTTTCGGTAAAGCTACCGAATATGCCGAATAACAAATATGAATCGAATATTCGGCCTGTCTCTAGTAATTATCGACGATGCCGACGCAGATTGAACTAAATTGATATTATGTATTCAATACCAATCCCTGCTCCAGAATCACAACAGTTCTTAAAAAAAAACTTTAAATTAAAAGGCCATTTAAACATAAAGCCATAAGCGGTACGCAATCAAGAGCTTTTTACTCTGTATCTTAATGAGGTTTTTATTTCGCTTTCGTCTAAGACCGTAACGGTACACGACCGGTTCCCAAAATGGAGGAATTAATTACAGCAATCACCAGCGTCTGCGTGCGTGACGCGACCGTTGCGTAATTGAGTTAATTCGGTGTAGGCCCACCATGATTCCGGATATTTAACGGACTGTCTTGATTTTACGTAATATACACACACACATATATATATATATATATATATATATATATATATATATATATATATATATATACACATAGTTAAAATTTTACGCCCACACAAGAATTATCTCCTGTATCATGAAATATTTATTTGTCACTTTTAAGTGGTTTAGTCCACTCAAAAGGGACAATTAGTTATTATATTTATCCTTCCGAACTAAACATTATTCAGTAAGCAGTATACAAGCTATATTATTTAGTATACAAGCAGTAGTATTATTTAGTATACAAGCAATGTGACAACTAGAAAGTCTTTCATGTAGTTACCTATATTTAAAAAGTCGTATTTTCCGATTCATAGGAGTCTTAGGGTTTTTAAATTTAAATGGAACCTCAAGGTATAGTTCCATTTAGTTAAAAACAACCATTAACGTCGGTTCATAGCCTATTGAATAATATACAAACACAAACACGGCCGTATCGCGTAACATAACTAACGAAGAATACAATCCAATTGAAAATCTCCCTCATTTTTTGAGTCAATTGAAAACTAAATGTCCTACTTAAAATCTTTACTTCTAACTTACTTAAATTTGCCATTAAATAACTCTTATATCTGTCTCTTTCTATTCTCATTTAGTGAAGAGAGAAAGAACAACTTTTTTATAAGTAAAGCCGTATATGTTTTCATTGGAAAAATTTAAATAACCGACAGAAGTCAGTTTTTCCGTGCCTTTAACTATATGTTATTATTTTAACTATGTTATTTTACGTAGTAGAGCTATGCTGCAGCTATATTGTGGTGTCAGCACGAATGAGTCGGTTCGACCGGGGAAGGACCACGCTCTCACAGAATACCAGCGTAAAATAGTAGCTTAATGCTGCTGTGTTTTGTATGGTGAGTGTAGAGAAACGTAAAAAGGGTCTCCTTTTTACTGGAAACGAGGCATTCCATATCAGTCGTCAGGACTGGGAACGCCTCGGAACCATTTTGATTTTTAATTGAAGATAAATGTAGAGGTGGACTGTGTGCTCGTTTGTCACCCTTATTATATATTTAAAAATACATCCGTCCATGTACCTAAAATGATACTCTTAATTTAAAATTACTTTTATGCGAATTTTGTATTTATTGATCCTCAACTTCAAATATTAATGTCCTAAAAATTTGCAGATATCGTGGTATCCCTGTTATATTCTGTTACCGGTCCACCGTTTTCATTTTATTGTGACAATTTCGTTTTTTTTTTTAATTTATTACTTTTACTTTACGTGTCGGCATGGCACTGTATCAAAGAACCACGAGCACGCGCTCGGAAAAAAAAACTAAGTGTGCCTTAACTTTTACATACATTTAACAAAACTTTATTATGAATTTAAAAATGTTCATGAGAACTTAGATATGATTATTTACTATGCCTTAAAGTAATTTCATAAACTTATTCGTAATAATATTCTGGTGTCATGGAGAAATGTATCTAATTTTTGCCACTTTGCAATTCTTATCTATCGAGAAAATGATATGTTATCATGTCTTCCTTTTATGAAATCCAAGGTCATATAGTCAAAAATCATATGCCAAAAATTTGGTTCGTAGCGTAGTCTTTAAAACTTAAAAAAAAATGTGAAATAGGAAAACTACCAAATTTTCGAGGTAACACCTCAACCAAGCGTAGTTACTGAGTTAAATAATCCCCACTGTGACGTAATCTATGGTGATGCGTGTGTTCAAAGGTGGGCTTTTGATAGACCGTTATGATTATGAATGATGAATTGCTGATAACAACTTAAAATATTTTAAACAGCATTTGCCGACTCCATCACCGAAGCTCCAAACATCTGGCAATATATGCGCTGATGTTTACTTCCGATAAGCTGTAGGGATGGACAAATGAAAAAAAATTATCGATATTTTTAAACAGTATCGATATATATCGATCGCGTGATAAAAATCGTTATATCGTCGTGTTTTGCACGATGTAGTAGGAAAAGGCCCAAAATTGGATTACTGAACGAACGGTTGGACAACGAAAAACTAACAAGTAACAACAGCTCATGAATGCTTTTGTAGCTACTTTAGTTCCTTAATGTATTATCAATTAATACAACATTTTAAGATATATCGAAATTGATACGATCGAAATTGACGTATATGTATGTATGTATGTATATGTATATAATTATTTTTCTTTAGGGCCTTTTCTCTTTATTCTGATAATCAACGATTTGCCTGAAGTAGTCAATAAGTCTACACAATTGTTATTTGCTGATGACCTAAAATTAGTTTTAAAAATAAAGCAGCGGGCGGATCATGACATGCTACAGCAGGATATAACGAAAGTCGTAGAGTGGAGTTTGGAAAATCAATTATATTTCAACGCGGCGAAATGTTCTATCCTATCATTCAACCGTGCACATAACCCGAGTCATCATCAATACTATATGAATGGAACCCCTCTGCAACGAGTTTTTGAGGTTAATGATTTAGGCGTGCGATTCACTACCGACATACAATTTCTAAAACACATTACTAATGTTTGTAAAAAAGCATACCGCAGCCTAGGTCTTACGGCTAGCCAACAGATTCACAAACATCTATGCTCTGAGAGCATTATACGAGGCACTTGTAAAAAGTCATTTAGAATGCAATGCTGTTGTTTGGTCACCACATGAAGTCAAATAAGTATAAATTAATGCTAGAACGTATTCAGAACAAATTTGTGTGATTTATGTATTTAAAACAGTATGGTGTCTACCCGGGTTATCCACTTTTGCACCCTACTTTATTTATACTAGGCATGATAGGTTATTATAAACTAGAAATAAGAAGGGAAGTTGCTCTCGCCACTTACTTACTAAAAGTGATCCGTGGTAAAATACATAACCCAGGTACTTTACAGATAGCTGAGCTGTGTGTCCCTAACGAGTACGTAGGAAGACGGCGACGGCCGCCGCTCTTGTCGGTGCCGCAAGCGCGCACCAACTTGCTACAGCACGCGCCTTTGACGCGCGCGCTGCGTGCACTTAACGTGGTCTCACAACAGACTGATTTGTTCAGCTGTACTCTGAACGAATTCACAAAAGGCCGCTTATTGTAAAATATATATTTTTTTTTTGCGCCCGAAGCAAATATGGGCAACCCTCCGGAAAGCGGGGGGAGGGAGGCGGTGAATGCTCATAGCATACCACGCAGCCGGCTGCGTGGTTATGTGGAGACTTTTACCCACTAAACACCGCCTTTTAGGAAATGGCTTAACGATCTGACTAGAGATCTCTAAGCCGTATACGAACGCGACCCTCCTTGGCAGAAAGGAGGGCGCAGCAGAAAGGAGGGCGCAGGTAAGCTTGTAAAATATCTTTAAGTTGTGCATAATATACCTATATTATGTTTGTTCTAGTTTATTAGTTTGTAACTGCACTATTGTATTAGGTAATACACCTGTGATGATAGTTTTTATTTATTTTATTTATTTATTTATTTAAGAAATTTATGATTACAAAGATGAATAGTTTTAGTGTAAACATAAACTCATTAGAGTTTTTCCGTACACCATTGCTGTCGACACATTATTCTAATTAACACTTTATAATACATTACATTACCAAAGTTACATTAATATTATTACCAACTTAAATTAGGTGCATTAAATGTTATGTTTCTAATTGACAAACTATTTATGGGTACAAAAATATAAAATAGTCTTAGGCGATGAGCGTAAAATCACATGGTGAACTTATTACATTCTGTGAATAATCGTGACACAGTTGTAATTGGTAAAATAAATAAATAAATAATATTATATTATATTTATTATATATTAAGTAAGTATGAATATTTTACTAACTATATCTATTCTATTAATTTGCATTTTATTTTGTTTTGTATCCTTATTATTTGTTTATGAAGTGATTGATTACACCTGCCGCAGTTTCTCAAATCATCCATGGTTGACTGGCAGAGAACGCCATAAGGCATTAAGTCCGCCCTTTATATCCCTTAGTATATAAGGTGTATAATAAAGATTAAATAAATAAATAAATTCGATACTCCAAATCGATATTAAAAATGATTAATGATTATTAAAAATATCGGGGATACACATCGAAATTCAATGAGAAAATGTCGGTATATCAATAATTTTACCCAATGAATTCATGAACAACTTTCTTTGCAGAGTACTCCATCATATCTTAAGAAGTCTGTCAACGAGCGAGAAAGAAGAAGATTTGCAACTGGCTCTCTTCAATCTCATATGTGAACGGGTGTTGGCGCAGAAACCCTCGCTATTCGTGAGCGATTTCGGTAGGTTTTAAAATGAATGCTTGATGTTCTATCTTTACGTACGTCCGCAGCACAAATAGATCAGCTTGATTTATACTTATGGCTGTAGCACAAATAGATCAGCTAGGTTTTGGTAAATCCCAGCATGAAAAAATCCTTCACACTAGACTTAACTATATATTTTTTTATAGCATAGGGTGAGAAACTAGCACACAGTCCACCTGATGGTAGGTGGTTGCTGTGGCACATAGACATCTACATCTATCCTCGATTAAGAATCAAAATTCAGATGCGTTGTCACCTGTGAGGACTAAAATGGAATGCCTCGTTTCCAGTAAAAAAATGGTCTCCGGTTCTCTACACTCACCATACGAAACACAGCAGCATTAAGCTGCTTTTTTACGCTGGTATTCTGTGAGAGCGTGGTCCTTCCCCGGTCGAACCGACCCATTCGTGCTACAACTATACTACTATAAACTTAACTAAACAGGGTGTCACACGTGAACGGAGTAGAAGGCCTATCCCGCTGATATTTTATAAAAAATATAACTTTGCCCTCTACCCTTGAGCCTGTAACCCTACGAAATGACAAGGTCAAAGATGCCTACTAAATGTATTGTTTTATTGCCGGTCATAAAGTAGGGTGGATATGATTTGAATTTAGATACATTTTGATTTATTTTTTTAATAACTACAAAATTTTGTTTTTGTTTTTTTTTTTTTGTAAAATATCAGCGCCGTTCGTTCGTTTACATGTTACACCCTATTTTTTGCAGACGGTAAAAAGGTTATCTAGTATATAGTAGGTTATGTTCACAATTGGAAGTGGTAGGGTTTTTTATAGCATTCGGTGACAAACAAACGCATAGTCCACCTGATGGTATGGCCCACATCAACATTTATCCTCAATTAAGGTTCAAAATGCAAATGCATTGTCACCCCTGAGGACTAAGATGGAATGCCTCGATTCCAGTAAAAAAGGGTATCCGATTCTCTACACTCACCATACGAAACACCACGCATTACGCTGCTTTTTTTACGCTGATGGTGGCGCTATTGTCGATTTCCAGAAATCACCTGTGCGCAGCCAGGGTCAATGGCTAGTTTCAAAGTAAATTGCTGCATCAATATTGTCCCCAGGTCTAAATCTAATCAAGCTGTCCGCTCTACGGTGCTATCGACGACCCTTACTGACTCGCTATCTAGTGCAGTGCGTGAGGAAAGCACTACGCAGCAACGACCTCCCCCACGGCACTGAACACGTTTTTCATGAGGTAATGATTTTTCCTTAAATTCATGTTTTGACGTGAATGGTTCTTTGAGTTTTCTTCCATAATTCATCATTATCAACACAGCCCTTCCCAAGTACACTGCTGAACAAAGCACGATCCTGAGCCACCTGCATCCATCGACTTCCTACACTTCGTCTAACGGTACGAGGCTGCCACTCAAGAACCTTTTCATCGGTTGGTAATTTTTCAAGCTATATGGCTAGCCCGTTCCATGGCCTGAGGATGCGGCGTTGAGAGCCGCAATTTCGAATCCCGCATGGAACAAGTATTTGTATAGTAGTAAAGAAAAGTTACAGCCTCTATACGTCCCACTGCTGGGCACAGGCCTCCCCACATTTCTAAAAGGGTTTTAGGGCAAGGTAGTGTCCGCCGTGTGCCCCAATGCGTGTTGGTAAACTTCACATGTCTTTGAAATATTTTTTTTTTCTTATTCCTCGGACATGCAGGTTTCCTCACGATGTTTTCGTTCACCGCCGAGCACGTGGTAAATGAGCACTTAAAATTGCAATTAACAATTTCACTGGTGCCAGCGGGGATCGAACCCGGGTTACTCGCGTTATGTATATTTACAGCGAGCGTTTACCATCTGAGCTACCATGGCTCTCACGGCAGTATTTGTATGAACTACAAATAATATAATGGCCTAAAGACCAAATTTCGGTCACGGCGGCCAGCCTCAATGCAGACTAGCCATCGGTGCAGGACAGAATTATAGTGCCTGAGTGTATGCGCAAGCACAGGTGCACTCTATAATCCAGTTTTAAGTAAAAAAGGGTCTCCGATTCTCTACACTCACCATTCGTAACATAGCAGCAATAAGCTGCTATTTAACTCTGGTATTCTGTGAGAGCGTGGTCCTGCCTCGCTCGAGCCAATCCATTTGTAATACAACAATAATATAACTACAGCTTGGCTGGCACGTAAGTTGTGAGCGATTATTAAAATATTATATTTCAATTTTCCAAACCCTCTACAGGTGGACGCCCTCGGTGATAATCTGGTGATAGCTTGCGTGAGAGCTGGTGATGTTTGCGCGGACGCGTTGAGTGAACTGGTACGGAAGGAAGCCAGTGAGATACCGCTGTTTGATATCCACCACGTGAATACCGAAGGTGAGTACCGTTCTGTTGCTTAAGACCGTCTGACTATACCTGGCCTTAAATGATCGGCCCCGTGGTGCAGTTGCTTACCAAAGAGTTGCAGCGCTAAAGGCCGCGGCTTCGGATCCCGCACGGAACAAGTTTTTTAACTTCCCGCTTAGAAAATAGAAAATTTTTAAAAATAGGTAAGTTATTGGTTTCACCCCGATTTTCGAAAATCGAGTTTTCATCAGATCTCGACGTTTTGAGATTCTAATTGTGTGTGTGTGTGTGTGTGTGTGTGTGTGTGTGTGTGTGTGTGTGTGTGTGTGTGTGTGTGTGTGTGTGTATAAGCCTTTCATAACTTTTGAACGTCTTGATCGATTGAGATACAGTTTTCGGCGTTCTAAAGATATCAATGCTGAATAGATTTGGTGATAATATGAACTCATTCAGACGAGTAAATTTTGAGAAATCTCAAAAATAAAAAGGTTGAAAAACTGTTTCTTTGAAATAACTTTTAAACTGCTTTACCGATCGATTTCAAAAACTAATCAGCTCTTAAACTCAAAAAATGACGTCGAATGCCGGTTGGAAAATAAAAATCGGTTCATTCGTTCGTGAGATGTCGAAGGAGAAAGAATTTGCACAAAAAAAAAACTTTTTTTTTTTTAACATAACTTCGAAATTTCACAACATAATTTGGTGAAATTTGGAGCGCTTTACATTTGAAATTAGCGGGAAGTTCTAGGGATGGCCTGCAGAGTCAACCAATTTTTTTTTTTGTAGAATAAGGGTGACAAACGAGCAAGCGGTCCACCTGATCGTATGTGGATGCTGTGGCCCAGAGACATCCACGTTTATCTTGGTTTAAGGATCAAACTGAATGAAGACGCGTTGTCACCCCTGAGGAGATGGAATGGCTCGTTTTCAGTAAAAATAGTCTCCAATTCGCTACACTCACATACATGTTCAGTTCAGTTCAGAGCATGTTCCTTCCTCGGTCGAGTTGACCCACTACTACTTATATAGGCTGCACTACTTATAGCTGCAGTATAGCTCTATCACGTATAATGGTGGATACTATACTGGTGTACTTGAATTTAAACTTTTAAGTAACTAGTGAGCCGTGGTAGCTCAGATGGTTAGCGCTCACTGTAAATTTCACAGTACGCGACCAAACTGGTTTGATCCCCGCCGGTAATGAAATTGTTAATTGCAATTTTAAGTGCCGATTTACCACATGCTCGCCGGTGAAGGAAAACATCGTGAGGTAACCACCATGTCTGATAAATAAGAAAAAAAATATTCGAGGACATGTGAATTGCGCCAACTCACATTGGGGCAGCGCGGCTGATATTGCCTTGTCCTAAAAAACTCTCTTAGAAAAGAGGAAAGGCTTTTGCCCGTCAGTGGGACGTTCATAAGCTATAATTAAGTAACTATGTAATATTTTCACTGTTTGTATCCCAAATATTAACTAAATAAATAGATATTTTTTTTAATTTTTGCAGGGTACACAGCACTGCACGTAGCTTGCAGTCTCCACAGTGCAGAGAGTCCGAAGGTGCACATACTGCACGTGTTGCTGCAGCACGGGGATGCTGATGTTTGGAAAGGGGTGAGTGTGTAAATTTAGCTTTGTAATTGGTTAGCCAGACTACTTAGGTAAACTACCCCTCTAGGCCTAGGTCATAGGTCATCTATTTAGGCACTATTATTCTATAAAAAGTGTTATTATTTAAAACGTATAAAATCTACTAATAATTTTTTGAAATGAGGTTCCTCCAACAGTAAAAAAAACTACGAAAGAAACCCCCCCCAGCCGGGCTAGCATGAGCAGGGGATAAAAATTTTATCCACCGATTATATCCACTGACAAGGGATAAAATTGTCTTATCCCTATGTCAAAGCTATATCCACCCTGCGAGCATGGGCCTATGGTGGATATAATATCGACAGTAGATAAACTTATCCCCGCGCATAGATAATATACGATAGCAAAGATGTTTTATAAAACATCTTTGTACGATAGTATAAAGCTATAAACTATACTAGCTATAAACTAGTTTTAAGATTAAGTAGATTTACATTAACTCATATTTTCTTTTACCTTTTGTTTATTATATTGCTAAACTGTTAATAATTTTTGTTAAACAATATGCCATTTATAATATTTGTTATATTTATTTTAAGCGTATTTCTGCCTTGTTTTTATTTTTTCTATTATTCTAATTCTTTCTTTATTTTCTTTTGTATAATATTTAAGTTAAATATACATTGCTTGTATCAAATCGCAGGTATTACTTCGCTTGTGATAGCATTTATTAAAAAATATGTGTTTAGAATTAAGCAAATTGTGAAACTGGACAATACAGACCCGTTGGAGGTGTTTAACCTCTTGAAGAAATTAAAAAAATATATCCCCGCAATTACTGCCATTATAAGAAAATTACAAAATACATCAAAATTGATGTCTACTCTAATTCACAAAGATTTAATTTTAATTGAAAATGATGAAGCATGAGGAATAAAAATGTAATGATTTCAAACAAAACAAGGAATAAATAATTTTATAATCATGAGTATAGTATATTTAGCAAGCTTTGCTAAAGAATTAACTAACATATTTCTTAATTTAAACCTTTGAATTGTAACTTTACTAAGTTTGATAACTTTATTTTAAAACGTTATAATACTTACCTAAAATATAGTATAGACCGATTCTATTATCATTAAATTTGACTTGACCATGGACTCGCTTTGGGTATTATTGACACAACCTATGTAATTAAATCATGGCATTGAGCTATTACCGGTAGTACCGGTAGGCGTAGTGTAGGGCGTCCCCCACTAGATGGAGTGACGACCTGGTAAGACATGCAGGAAGTCGATGGATGCAGGTGGCTCAGGACCGTGCTTTGTGGCATTACTTGGGGGAGGCCTATGTTCAGCAATGGACTTGTGAAGGCCTGTAGTGATGATGATGATGATGATGATGTGCGGCGGTAGTCACTTACCTTCTGGTGCGTACGTGCGGGTGCACGCTCGTTTGACTTCTCTTCTATAAAAAAAAGTATGAGGCCCAAATAAATATAGCCGCAATAGGCTCGAGACATCATTTTTGTATTAAAATGGTATGAAGATAAACTTAAACCCACGTCCGCGAAAGAGGATAAAATTGTCCCTTTCAAATGTCAAAAAGGGATAATTTTTTCTCTTCCCCTTGGCCCCATGCTACGGACGGGGGAGATATATGTCCACTCGTTATGTCAAATGGGGATATACTATAGAGATAAGATAATTTTACCACTTGTCAGTGGATATAATCGGGGGATATAATTTTTGTCTCTTGCCCATGCTCGCAGGGTGGATAAAACTAAGCAAGGGATAAAAAATTATATCCTCTCTCCGGGGATATATTCTCTCCGGCTCATGCTAGTCCGGCAAGTGGCTAATTAAGTCACTTTTTAAAATTAATATTATGATTGCATAGTACATACAGAATACAATAAGACAACTTGTCAAATCTTCACATCGGTAAATGAAGCCATATTATATTTTTTATTATTATAGAATAGGGTGACAAGCGAGCACACAGTCCACCTGATGGTAAGTGGTTGCTGTGGCCCACAGACATCTACATCTATCCTCGATTATGAATCAAAATGCAGATGATCACCCGTGAGGACTAAGATGGAATGCCTCGTTTCCAGTAAAAAGGGTCTCCGGTTCTCTACACTCACCATACGAAACACAGTAGCATTAAGCTACTATTTCACGCTGGTATTCTGTGAGAGCGTGGTCCTTCCCCGGTCTAGCCGACCCATTCGCGCTACAACTATACTGCTAATATAATATATATTTTATGAAGTATTTAAAAAAACACATATTAATTATAGTTTTCAATTTTTCAACTTATAATTTCCCGTTTCCAGGACGTGAAGGGTGGCGATACATCGCTCCACTTGGCGATCAACTCGCCCACGTGCGATCTGCGCCTCGTCATGATCATATTCCGCCACATCGACCGCAAGCTGTGGAAGCGACTTGCCCACGCGCATAACAGAAGGTAATTAGACTAGTCTAGATTATACAAGTGCACTCTCTATTGCCTCATTCTTATAGTCCGATGGGACAGTAACCAGTCACGACCAGAGGCAACAACACAGTGAGGAGAACAGGCCCTGCTCCTGATTTCTCTCCAGTCCGAAGAAGAAGACCGAAGAGTAGAATCTGCCACTTTGTCTGGCGTATGTGGACTATGAGAAAGCCTTTGATTCTGTCGATATTTGGGCTGTGCTACGGTCCCTTCAGTAATACCAAGTTGACTGTCGGTATAATAATAATAATAAAGTCCTCCAGACCGAATTTCGATACGGCGGCCTGCCTCAACGGAGGCTAGCCATCGGCACAGGACAGGATTATAGTGCCCAAGTGTATGCGCAAGCACAGGTGCACTCTCTATTCCCTCACTCTCATAATCCGGTGGGACGGTAAACCGACACGACCGGAGAGAGATCAGGCGCAGGACCAACGGCTTTACGTGCTTTCCGAGGCACGGGGGTGAGACACCGCCAACTTCCTGACTCCGGGAAACTACTGAGAAATTCTTGACGGAAAAACTCGATAATTAATTTTTTGGCCCGACCCGGGATTCGAACGCAGAATCTCACGATCAGCAGTCGCACTACTACAACCACTAGACCAACGAGACAGTCTACTACTACTATATCGAACTACTACTACTATATACTGTCGGTATATTGAAGTGCTGAAGTGTTTGTACAGTAGGGCTACGATGGCTATCCGAGTACAGAACCAGAGTACGAAACCTATCCAACTGCAGAGCGGTGTAAGACAGAGTGACGTTATATCCCCGAAACTCTTCACCGCTGCATTGGAAGACATTTTCAAGCTACTGGACTGGAAAGGATACGGTATTAACATCAATGGCGAGTACATCACTCACCTTCGATTTGCCACCGATATAGTCCTTATGGCAGAATTGCTGGAGGACTTAAGCACTATGCTCAATGACCTCAATAGTGCCTCCCAACGGATAGGTCTTAAGATGAACATGGACAAAACAAAGATCATGTTTAATGTCTATGGCACACCAATGCCCGTAGTTGTTGGGAGCACTAAGCTCGAAGTTGTTGACGAGTACGTTTACCTGAGACAAATAGTCCAATTAGGTAAGTCCAACTTCGACCGAGAGGTCAATCGACGGATTCAACTCGGCTGGACAGCGTTCGGGAAATTACAACAGATCTTCTCGTCAGAAATACCTCAAAACCAGTACAACCATTGTGTGTTTCCAGTAATGACTTATGGATATTTATTTATAAAATGTTATTTGGTTTAAGCATTATTATGTAATTGTTTGTTCTCCTGAATAAATAAAAAAAATGGATCTGAGACGTGGTCCTTCACTGCTGGCCGTATGAGGAAGCTCAAAGTCGCTCAGCGGGCTATGGAGAGGTCTATGTTCGGGGTTTCACTGCGTGATAAACTTAGAAATGAGGATATCCGCAGTAGAACCAGAGTGACCGACAAGCACCACGCTCTCACAGAATACCAGCGTGAAATAGTAGCTTAATGCTGCTGTGTTTCTTATAGTGAGTGTAGAGAACCGGAGACCCTTTTTACTGGAAACGATGCATTTCATCTTAGTCCTCACGGGTGACAATCTGCATTTCGATTCCTAATCGAGGATAGATGTGGATGTCTATGGGCTCGTTTGTCACTCTATCCTATATAAGAAACATCAACCGATGAGGAAGTAGGGTTTTCGAGTGGCAGCCTCGCACCAAGAAACTAAGTGGTACTCGAAAACCTGACACTAAGTGGAATGACAACCTAGTAAAAGATACTGGAAGTCAGGAAAGAAGGAAGATGGAAACAGATGGCAATTTATGGGCGAGGCCTATAATTAAAATCTAATTTACCTAAAAATGGAAAATCTACCAAGTTTTAAAACACATGATGATGGTCATTCTATTTCGTTTATTTCAGTTCAGTGACGCCATTGGAATACGCGCGGTCGGCGGTCAAGTCGACCACGAGACAGAACTACCCGCACGAAGTGTTGGAGTTTTTGAAGAAGTGCCGTTGAATACGCGCGAGATGTAAATATGCAAATTGATTTGTATTCTCGATGACATGTAAAACATAGGACTTTAAGTGTTGGTTTAGTTTAAACGAAAAACAATTCACCGTTGTTCAGGACCTTACAATTCTATTAAAAATATAGTTTAGTCACAGACCAACAAAGAATATAGAGAGAACAATATACATTTTAGGTAAAACAAAAACCAAGCTCAATTTATTGTTAGATAACTCACGCAAAAACACATCTAAAATAATTCGCAACCAATAACATCGTTTTAGATGTACTAGTAGTATTGAGACCGTAATTAATTAGATTTTTAGATTTGTAACTTATAACATCAATACAAATAAATAAAATTGAAGTATCTATTTGTAATATCAAAATAACAGCTTTTTACTAAATGCATATGAATGTAAATACGATACTTATACCAAAAACACGATTTTTAAAATGTTTGTATTACTGTCTGTTTATTTCGGCAAATCACCAAAATGGCTGGACCGATAATGACAGGAACTTTAAATAACACATAAATGTTATAAGAAGTAACTAGGGTTACTTTTATTTTGAGAAAAGAATTAGGGTTCCGCGCGAAAAAAAACTAAATTAAATGCGGGCGATGTCTCTAACAGCTAGTTAAAATATTTACAAAATATAAAAAACGCTTTTTTGCCTTAACATTGACACACTATTGAAAAAGAAATATTTGAAATCACACAAAACTCACAGCTTATTCAGTCGATTTGTCCGTAATTATTTGCTAGCAACATTTTAAAAGTCTGGCAACAATCTCTTGTTTGACCACAGACTACTAAGTGTTTGACATTGACAGTATGAATATAAACAAATAATGATTGTTTGCTTGTGTGTAGCCATATCGTTGCATCACACTGCAGTAAAACTTTGTCAACTTATTGCTTGCACTTGCGCGAAGGTTTAGGCATAGTACAATTAACTTACAGCAGGTGGTGCGGGTATCGTACCTACAAATTTATTTGAAAGTTATAGATTTTATTTAATTAGAAACCCAGCGGGACTATTTTTTTTCTCAAATAATAGCTTACAAAGAGTTAAAAAGGGTTTTTCCTTAACGTATTAATACATAGATAATAGATGTGTGCGTGAGTGCGTGTTCATACAATAACTTGAGCTTGGTGGTTTTGGGATCACTTTAAATTAACGTAGTTTACTGTCTATTTTTGTTGGTTGATTTGAGATTTTAATTAATTATGACATCGGTCCATTTCCTGGCGATTGAAATGAAATTGTTGATAAGTGGGTAGTTTTACTTTGCCCTGTCTGATATTTAAAAGCTCTTGCTATATATATCATTGACAGAAAACAGAAGAAAGGGTTTACAACAAAAAAAAATAAGAAAGTTAATAAACTTTTATTTGTAACTCACCTTATTTTGACAAATATGTTTTATTTACTTTGTGTACGAGTAAAAAGCAACTTAAATTTTATTATCAACTGTTCACATTAAGCAATAATTATAACAAACATAGTTGTAAATATTAAACATTAAAATTGAGTAGAATTTTAAAAAGTCTAGAAAGTATGTCTTACGATTCTTCGGTGTTTCTAATACCAGGTTTTAATATTTAATAAAGAAAGGTTTCGTTTTCCTTTACGAGCCGTTACAGTCCATGTGAAGTACAATAATAGTCCTGTAAACCAACGCTGGGATGTTATTTTAAGTTATCTGAAGTTGCCGAAGGAGTAGTTTGTAATACAAACTTTTTTTGACTTGAGTACGAGGTTGTTCAATAAAACAGATCGTTACGGAGAACGAAACGTGTCTTTAGTATAGGAATCGGGCATAAATAAGGAACTTGGAGATGGCAGTTGTTTATGAGGCTGTTGGTTTAACCTTTTGGTTTGATAATATACGACTATAGATTGTCCGGCACGGAAGTTTTGAAAGTTGGTAATTCTGTGCCTTAGTAAAGGATGAATTCATTATATATGTAGTATTGTAATTGGTTTCTTGTTATAATAATTATTATATGTGTTAAATTTGTTACAAATTAAAAAAGTAGTTAATACGCCGGCGGATATTTTATAGAAATCTTTTTTTTATAAATATATATGTCGAACTTTCTAGAAATATCTAATTAGGGGATAAATTTAGATTTAATTTAGTCTTATAATATATAAGAGATATTGTTGTCTTTTTAATAATTTGTTAAGAGTCTTTATTTTTTTAATTATGAGCTCAGTGTGCGTGAGGGCGCGCGTATACTTACAACAAGTTGAGGCGTTAGGCGTCACCTGAAATTAACTTAAGTCTCCTGTCTATTATGTTTGTTGGTCTATGTGTTAAAGAAATTAATTTAAGATTTTCACTTGGAGAAAAAAAATGTACAAAATAATTCCACATTTTATATGTGTTTTTATTTTTTTAACATTGTAATATTACTATAGATATATTACTAGTTTTTAACATTTTGTCTTACACCTATTATAAGTAATATGAACTATGTTTCATAATCACAAATTAGTGTTAAATCTATGATATTTAAACTATAGTGCGTTTTTATCGAATTTTCCTTGAATTTGAACAATGTTTCTCATTTCACATCCAGAATATTTTTTTAGGTTAAATATATACAATAATAGCACTTTGTATTTTAGGAAATATGTTTATATATATTTCCTATAATACAAATTGCTTGACACTTACGCGTAACATTATCTTCCACATTCGTTTGAAAGTTATAAAGAATCCCGCAGACAGACAAGCATTTTAATTGGGAAGTACATATGAAACATGGACATTTTTGAATCTTAAAAACTCAAGAAGTGATTAATATGGAATATTTCATTGAAAGGACTTTCCATACATTGATTGACCTGTCACTTGATTTTTTTAACAGGTCGTGTCTACCGAATGAACAAGTAACAATGAACAAGTTTTTAACAGGTCGTGTCTACCTTCAACTTCTGTTGTACAAAAACAATTATTGTTTATAATAACATAATAACTTATCATCTTTTTATTTAAGGGCCAGGGAAAAATGCTATTAAGTAAATAAAATTTTGAGGTTATAACAGCTGTCAATTAAGGTCTGTACACCATTAAAATCGTATTTAATCATAAATTAATAAATTATAAAAAAAGAAATTGGTTACTTTGAACATTCATAAACCACATGACGAATGAACAAGTTTTTCGTAGTCTAAAACGGAACGCGTAAAACACGTTTTTTATATATTTTGGCATGGCTTCTGGGCCTTTGAGCCATTGTAAAACACTTTCCATCGCCAAAAGTCTATTGAGAATGATAAACAAAGTAACATTACTTTTTTCCTGGCTTTATTTGAAAATTCAATTATGCGATACGAAATAAGAAAAAAATATGCAATTTTATAAGATATTTTATATCACTAGACGCGTTAAAAAATTTTCAGGTCAAAACTGGACATGATTCTTTAACTGATAAAATAAAAACAGTAACACATAAGTAGTTTTGTTCAATGTATTCTCATATCGCATAAAAGAGGTAAAAAAAGAGGGATTCCTACACCCGATAGGCAATGGTAATGTCCCACTATCGACATACCATCTCGATCATCCAGGACCGATGACTTCGAGACTTCGACTCACAAGAGTTTCAAATACACCATTACCGTCCCTTTTTTCTTATATTAACACGAATATCTGACGTTGAATAAAACCTATTTCATGAATTTTATCGCGTTTTATTTAACTTATTTTTAATTCCCGACATTTCGGGTGCTTTACAGTACTCATAGTCACCATGGAGGGGGGCGGGGGCTAAGCTGTTTAACGTCCCGATGTCACAGTTAGCCCGGGTGAATACACGCGATAAAATCCGTAAAGTTGGTATTATGCAACTTGAGATACCTATTTGATGCATGGCAAAACGTACATGAATATTTTTGGGTTTTCGCCCAGATGGAAGCGGAAGCTAGTATATTATATTATATTTCCAAATAAAAATACCAAAAACATTGTTTATATTCGTTGGAAATTCGATTAGAACAGATTTTTCGAAACGTTGTACGTAAGAAAATGTTCGTTGGAAGATCATTGATAGGGACTCGTTAATGTTTATATTGGAATTACAAAGACAGGAGGATATACCTAATAATAGTTTCAAAAAACTTAAGCTACTCGTATTGAACATGAACTTTGATGACCCTAGAGATACTAGGTCATAATCACGGTATTAGTGTTCTGTCATCGGTTTGTAAATACGTCTGCAAAACTTCGAATCAGAAGTAGGTGAAAATTTATACAACAGTTTTGTTAGAATAAAGAGATATTTTACGTTAATGCAAGTCGAACTTTGTTGTCCTAATTAAGTTTTTTAAGTTTAAATATTCGACCTTAACTCAAGTTTTAGATATCGTTAAGTCTCACAGCGTCACAGTCACTTTGACTTCAGGTGCGTGTTTGAGCAAAATGCCGCGCTACTCGTTATTTGTGAGGTTTTTAGGAGATATCTACTTGTTATTAAAAAGATATATCAACTAATAAAAAATCTATTAAATTTCTACATAATCTTGATTTCATAAAAGTCATTTCCATTTTTTTAATAGTAAATACTTAATCAATCTTCTTACAAATAAACCACAGAAATGCGATATAATTACTGATAACATGCTCATAAAGTAAGCATTATTTTATTTTGCGATTGACACTAATGGACAGGCGCTTTATTAATGAACATTTTGATGTATTGAATTTTTTCTAACGACTAAGAAAATATTTTAAAATTTGTGTGTATTTCTTACGCGATATATTGTAGCGAGAGCGCGTGGAATGTATAAGAGCGAACGTTCAAAGTCGTTCGCTAGGAGTAACACCTTAAAGTGATAGAGACAGCACGAGTTTCGTGACGTAGGGGAAAACAATAACTATTGTCCAAATACTAAAGCGGTGCTCAGTTTAAAAAACGTTTTTTTTTTAAACTGAGCACCGCTTTAGTATTTGGACAATAATTATTGTTTCTAGATATTTGTAAACTTTAAAA